ATTACAACACATTAGAAAACCATTGTAGCAAAGAGAGACGATTCCCAATTACTTCTCATGTGCTTTGACCTGAGGTGCAGATCCCACACCTGAGGTGCGGGTTGGTTTTATCCTGGTACGTGTAACACCAGGAGCACAGAAACCTTGCCGGAGGGACAGCGTTACCTGCAGTGGGGGCTGGGAGCTGCTCAGAATATCTAAACACAGATGCCAAGCTCAGGATCCTGCTTGTGTGTTTGCACAGACCAGTGTGAAGCCAGAAGCAGCAGCTTTTCCTGCTCAACATAAGGAAACAAAGTATGGGACACTGGTTTTACCAGCTACGAAGTCTCAGTGAGGCAGGCAATTTGTGGTGGTCAGAAATGCTCCTTGTGTAGCAAAGGGGAAGCCACATGTGCAGAGTGATCTATGGGTACAGTAGCTTCAGCATGGGTGACTTCTGTCCACATGGTGCTACGGCAGCAGCCATGTCTGTCTCTGAACATCTCTGAGGGCGGCCATGATGAAGGCACCTCTGTCATAGGGCTGGCATGGCCTGTACTGCCCCATAGCCTGCTTGGACAACATTGACTGCTGCAGGGGCAAATACAGGCTTCATCCACAGCAACCCCTACACTGCTGGACTCCAAAAGCAATTGAACTCCAGGCAGTGGGTGAAACCGGCCTCCCTCCAAAAAGCACATGCACCTCGCAGGTGGGATGATGCTGCGATCTGCTGATGGTCAAACCCAGGAGACTTCAGTGGGAAGCACAAGACGGTGTGAAAATCATCAGGAGGCTGGCTCTGAAATGGGCTCATAAAACAACCTGCTCACCTTCATTAGTCTGTAGTTGCGTTGCCTGACTCATCCTGCTGCCATCACAGGAACTCAAGGTACAAACTTTCCCAACTCATTTTTTATTGTCTGGGAAAGCTCCTATCTCCTCAGAGTGCAGTAAAAGCTATAATTACATCTGTCTTCATAGGAGGCAAACAAAAGGGAACCTGGAAGAGAAGAGAGAGGAAACAGAGGAGGCATAAGCTAATTGAAAAACATTTATTTCATGTTGTCTTTTGCAGTTTGACACAATTCTGCTTCCTCGCATCAATGCAGTGGTAGCACAGCACATTGAGGCCATGGCACCCTACCAAAGTCTGCTAATAGTATTCCCTCCCATTTTTTCACAGAATAAGAGAAAACTGCCATGGAGCTGAGGCCTAGTAGAAGTCACCATGCAGCAGCAGCTTTCAACATTTTTTTTTTTTTTTTTTTTTTTTTTTTTTTCTGGTGAGCTGAAGGGCCCTGTAAGGATCTCCTTGCTTCACCAGCAGTGCTGAGGTAGCCCAGCCACACATGTGCCCTCAGCCTCCACAGCCAAAACATGAAGTTTGTCACTGGTAAATCTTTGCCTGTGTTTTTCTACATAGACAGTCTCTGCAGATATCATTTTTAGCTGCAAGAAAATTTATACCGCATGCCCCTAGCTGTTTTGTTCTTGAACATTGCTTTCCCAGGCTAGATATTGCTTGATTTAAATAGATGGGTGACCCAGATACTATAGTAAATGATTATTTGAGGCTGAAGTATAGGTTTCAGTAGATTGACTTTTGCAGAACAGCTTAAATCAATATCCTCTTTTTATTAGTAGTTTCTAGAAAACCTATATTCGACAGTGTTGCATTCATCATTTGGCTCACTTCTGTGATATGTGTTCATGTAATACATTACCCAGCATCTGAATCATTTGTTCTTTTGTCCTCTGGACTGTACCAATTTCTTCTGTAAAGAAGTGTGGCTTAGAGCTTGTTCACTATGGATTTTTGTGGAGAGTTTTTTTTGCAGTAAGTCACTTGTCACTAATGATCCTAATTGTGCTCCTACAACTTTTTTTGTATCCCTTACTCTTAAAAATGACAGAAAAATTACAAAGGTAATTGAAGTGTTTACTAACACTTCCTATTTACAAGATTGAATTGAATACACCATTAAAATTCAGGACATTTTCCAGCTTTCAGTATGAAAAAATAACTGCAAGAGTAGAAGCCAACCTATTTCATAGAGCACCTCTGAATATTCTTCATTATTGAGGATTACCTACTGCAATACAGCAATAACAGAAAATACACTAAGTGACTGAAATCCAACTCAATTTAAAGTTTAAATCAATTGTATGATTCAAAATGTATTAACAACTCTCAACAAATTTCATATTAGTGAAACACTAATGTTTGCCTATTTTTAAACTCTGTAGTGAATCAAACATTAGATCTGATCTTCCAAGTCATGAAAGAGAAAAATAAGGTGATAGGTTGAATACATCCCATCTAGCACTAGGTTTGTTTTCGAGGTGCATAAATTTGCTGTTTAGTCAGTCTGTTCTCTTGGCAATGGACATTAAATAGCACTCCCAAGGTGGGAGGACATCTGGAGATAATTTGTCTGTTAGCTGTAGGAGGAAACTATCTCAATGGGCTCCATACTTAGACACAGATAACTACCTAGAAGCGGCGTGAATGTTACTGAAATGAGGATTCTCATTTTGTATATATATATTTATATATATATTCTCATTATACATATATATCCTCTCTCTCTTTTATATTTATATATATATATATAAAAATAAATTTTGTCATTGTTGAGCATGCTAAGCATGAGAGTGGAAAGGATTTTATTTCGACTCCTAGAGAAAAAAAAAACCATCTCCCAGCAAGTAAACAGTTTTAAAAGGATCATGATTCTTACTATTTCTATTATCCAACTTGCCATGAAGATGGAGTAGGTATGAGGTGCAATCACACAGCACATCTGCATATAATTATAGGACCTGCTTATCTGACATAGGCTGTGAAGCAGCTCAGTTAAATCAGCACTGGCTCCTTTTAACAACACACCATAGTCAGCTGACAATTGACCTGTACAAACCACAGCCCATGTGCAGAATTCATTCGGAGAACAAGCGAGGCAAAACCAGTTTAGTTAATGCCACATCACTTCAAGCGCAGGCGCAGACCTTCACATCAGACTCATTTTGCTACTGTCAAGTTACTGTGCTTGCTTGTACTGCGCTTGTAGTTTACACATGGCAGAAAAAATGATGCAAGGTAGAGAAGAGCCTATCTCTGATGATGCAGAGAGAAAAGGCATGTTGCTTTTGCCTGGGTATGCATCTTTTAATGGGGTAGTGCATGTTCTTCTAGCAGGAACTGCAGTTGCCCAGACTACACCTCTGACCCCAGTCTTGCATATCTGTAACCAGGGAAAGGGGATTTAATGAACTGTGTCTCCTCTGTCATGTGGGCAGGTTGTGTTTTTGAGACCTGGTACCCAAAGAGATTAAACTGGGCAAAACAATATCCTTATGAACAGCAAACGTTTAAGGACTAGTCCTTCATCACCAGCACGAAAGACAGCTCAAGGGGTAGAAAAGGACTGTCTTGCTTTAGAGTTGTCCTGACCATGGGCCATGGGCAGAACTGACTGGGAAAGAGAAATAAAGCAGCTCTTTCCTATCTCATATTTCCCCAATGCCTGGATATGTCATTTTGCTAGCCAGGCAGATGATCTTTTATCAACAACCTTACTTATGGTCTTCAATATGAGGACCAAAAGCAAGTTCAAGCAGGAAATCAATTTCCAAAGCTATATAACCACAAAAAGCTGCACTTGTTCAGCACACCCTGCTCCAGACTAAGGCACCTGTAAGTATCATTCCGCTTATCAAGACAATTTTCCCTTACTAAAGCAGTAATGTAGCCTGTATGCTCCTCGTTGGGGTCCAAATAGCTCCCCAAAACCCCTTGTTTACAGAGGATGAGGTAGAATTTCACAAAATCACATAAATAATAATAAAAAAAGAAATGCAGTAAAATGACTTTACCTGTGGCTTCAGCAAACGGTGAAACTTTGCAGTCCTGCGGGATCCTCTCCTGCCCCCATGCCTGCTGGTCCATGCTGTAGCAAAATGGTCTGGCATTTGTCAGCTGTGTCATTTTGCAAGACTGGAGCATGTTTGGCCTGGAAAGCAAGGTGTCAGAAGGAGATGCCTCACTGATATGTGAACACCTCCACCCAGAGTTACGCGGGGAGAAAAAGAAAAGTGACCAGAACATGGCATCTGCCCAGAGCTGCTATTCCTGGGGGTAACTGGATCCTGAGAGCCCCAGGTGAAAATCAGAGATAATCCCCCTATACGTGCCTCTAATTGGGGCTAGTGAAGGCTGGAAGGGGTAGGAAGGCTGATGGCTCAGCTGTAGATGTTCACAGGCATTTGGGGGGTTTGTTCCCGGCTGGTAATAGGGAATTCAACAATTATGCAAAGCCTTCCTTATAAACACATCTGAGTTTATCATGACACAGCTCCGGATCTATTTTTTGCTGGTGCCATGTGCGGAGGTGGTGCCCTTGTGATTTCCAGGCAGGTCATCCAAAGTCAGCTGCTTTGGCTCGGCCCACTGGTCCAGGCCGCTCCACTCGCCTGCACAGCGCCTGGCAGGCCAGCCGAGGGGATGTGCCTGTGGGCTATTCTCGTAGCGCTGAGTTATGAGGATATCATGTGAACCAAAGAGCCCAGAAATGCGTGTCGGACCCAACCAGTGACTAATCACGATATTTTGGTTGTCTCGGGGCCTTCGGGGGAAAGATTTACGGTCTTCAAATCTCCATGTCACAATCCCTGGGCACCGGCTTGATCTTCAGCTGGGACTTCCTCAGGACGTGAGGAAAGATGACCAAGAGGGGGCTGCTGTCCCAGGGGCAGTGAGATCTAAACTTATCTAAGCCTGAAACACAAACAAGGCTCAGGCAGGGCAAGAAACGAGAAAAGCCAGAGCTCCTTCTCATCTGTTCCTGCTGGGAGCCATGTACTGTCAGCTGGAGAAGATCTATTTGATCTGCCTGAGGAGAAAGAAGGGTCGAGGGCGGCGGCTGAGCAGACACAAAGTGCCATTTGTTGAGATTGTCATCTAGCTCCCTCATCTGTCACCTGATGGCCAGCCAAGCAAGTGCTCAGCACAACCGTGGACCATTCATCCTTGCAAAAGCAACGGAGTCGAGAAAAGTAAGCATCCTACAGCTGTTACGGCATTCAGCTGCTTTTTTTCCATGAAAGAATGCATTGAATTCACTACAAATCTACTAACTAACTCCCTATGCCAGGCAAGACACTGTTTTTTATTTTATTTTTTATTTATTATTATTTTATTTTTTTTGCTTGGGCTTTTCTTTAACAGCTGGAGGTCTGGTGGGCATTCGTACAATGGTCGTTGAGTAGGGCAGCTGCTTCGGTGTCTAGTTGCATTTTAACTTTAATAACTCAAGTGGAAAGCATTGCCATATCTACAATGAGTTACTTCCTGTCCTACTGCAAAGCACATTGCAATGCTGTGCTCTCCCAGTACCAGACTCTGAGATCAGAAGGTTTTCTCTGTGATATTCTACTGAAAGTGAAGGAAAATGAATTTCCTGCACACAAGTCTTTGTTGGCATGCTCCAGTGACTATTTTCGAGCCATGTTCAAAAGTTACACCCAAGAATCTAAAGCCAGTGTAATTCATCTGCAAGTTGTCTCGCCCACTGGTCTCCAGCATGTCCTGGATTTCATTTACACTTCCTTGTTGCCCCTTTCTTTCGAAAGCCTGGAGGATACCTTGGAAGCTGCAAGTTACTTGCAAGTGACTGATGCTATTGGCTTGTGTAATCAGTACTTGGTTAACAATCTTACCTTGGAAAACTGCTGTTTTTCTGCCAATGTTGCAAGAAAGTTCTATCTTCCAGATGTCTTGGCCGCAACAGAAAAATATATTATCAGTAATTTTTGGAAGTTGCTGGACTTGGATTTCACAGGACTGCTTCAGTTGAACTTCAGGTCTTTGCTAGCAGTGGTTAAATCACCAGACCTGCCTAGGGTGAAAGAAACCTGCTTGTTGAATTTTGTGCTGATGTGGCTAAAGCAGGACTCATCCAGGCTGGATCATAGAAGTAGCCTTCTAGAGCACATAAGATATGGTCTCATCCCAGTGGAAGATCTGAGAAAAATCTATACACAGTCAGAGATGCCTCTCACTGCAGGTATTAAGTGCTTGATCATTAAAGCAATAAATTACCATACATCTGTTTACAAGCAGCCTGTCCTGCAGGATAAGTCCACCACTCTGAGAAACCAGAAGACTCGGATCATTCTGTTGGGGGGAGGGAGAGCAAATGAGGGTCTTGTCACCGACGTGGTGGCCTTCGATGTTTACAATCACAGATGGCGAGCTCTCACCCATGTGCAGGACAGGGTGCAGAATCACAGTGTTTGTGTGGTGGGGAACTTCCTCTATGTCCTGGGAGGGGAAATAGAAGATGGTGCTTTGGAAGACGCAAAAACTGACAAAGTCTTCTCAGTCACAAACAAGGTCCATCGCTATGACCCGAGGTTTAACAGATGGACACAAGTCACTGGCATGCTGGAGAAGAGATGCCAATTTTCCTCTTGTGTCTTAGGCAACAGCATCTGTGCCATCGGTGGGAGAGGGGAGAATGGGTTGCTGCATTCCTCTGTGGAAGTCTATGACATCAGCAGGGACAGATGGAGGAAGGCCACAGAGTTGCCATGCAAGATACATGGCCACGCTGGTGCCATTTGCAAGAATACCATATACATCTCAGGCGGTAAATGCACAGGTCAAGCCAGCACAAGTAAGGACGTATATTCACTGAGCTCACTGGAAGAGCAGTGGGTGAAACAAGCCCCTATGAGCATTGCTCGGTTTGGGCACCAGATGGCAACAATCAGAGAAGCCATATTCACATTTTTAGGATTATATGAACCATTCTCTGAAATAGAAAGGTATGACCCTGATCAAAACCAATGGACTCGTTTAAGGCCGTTGACCTATGACCGATTTTGCTATGGCCTGGTAGTTGTAGAAGAAACTGCACTTCTTATTGGAGGGAAGAAATGGCAAGACTCACGGGAAGTGCCCACTCAAGATGTGGTTGGATACGACATTGACAACGATGGCTGGGAAGAGATCTGCAAAGCTCCTGTGCCTTGGTGGGGACTGCAGTGTGCAGTGCTGCAGCTCTCTGAAGAGGCCGATGAACAGGACAGTGACACACAACAAAAGAAGCCCCCAAGCTGCTGAGCTAACACTTTGTGGAATGATTACACCAGGAGGTGAGCAAGTAGGGCTGTCCTGGAGAAGAAAAAGGAAATTGCAGTGGTGCTAAACGTGACAGACTCAAGTTTTTGCCTTGTCAAGCAGTACCCTCGGTGAAAATTGTCAAGTAAATTTGGCTCTAGCATAGGAAAAGGTGCTGTGATTTATACAGTGGGAAATTGATGTTAAGAAGGATGGATGTAACAAGTAGCACGTTTGGAGATGAGCTAGAATCACAATGCTTGACATTTTTTTTTTTTTTTGAAGAATAATACCTTGATGGCAATTAATAGTTATTGAAAATCAGATTTTTCAAAGGTTAAAAAATATAATCCAGCTTTTCTGTTTTCCTAATCAGAGGTAATTTTCTCAGCTGGTAAGTGCTATTGAATTTTATGCTATGGCTAAGCAAAATGAAAGTGAGCTGTATAAAGAGTAGAAAATTGATGTCTAAGAGAAATAATAATAAGTAGTGCCAAGAAAAAGGTATTATTTGATATGCTACATACCAGGCAAGAATGCCTTAGCTAACCAGCATGAAATTACTGGACAGAAAGCATGGCTTTTTCGAAATGTAGCCTCAGCTATGACCATATGTTAAGACAGTGATTGCTCCACAGAAGAAGTGAAGCAAGAAAGCCACTTCTCTCTGAGCAGCCTTTGTTGCAGTTTGCTCTTCAGATGCCTATTTTGTGTTATTTTAAACACACACGGTATTGCCATGGTCCATTTCTTTTCGTATACAAACCTTGTGTTAGTTCAGATGCCCAGGACTGAACAGATATACTTATTTTAAGGCTCTATGAACCTTACAGGAGTTGCATTAGCTAATGCTCTGATACTTACTTGGCTACTTGGCACTTTGTTCCACCTGGTCAGAATGGTAAAACTGTTCGCAGTCGCTGAACTAGCACATGAGAGAACCAGGCAGTCAAACAAGGTTTAATTTCATTGCAGAGGACGAAGGGGAGGAAAGTTTTCAGAGGTCTGTGTTCGGTGCCTGCCTGCACCCAAAAGAGCAATAGTCTTACTTCTATTTAGCCATGCTAGCAGAGTCTGAAGGCACAGACTGTGTGCGTACTATCAATCGGGCATGCTGATCTGTGAAACGCAGTTAATGCGGCCAGATGCCAGAGAATCACGCTTGTACGGAGTATATTGAATCTCCAATAATAAACTTTGGTTTAAAGGCTAAATTTATTGTACTTCGTTTTACAATGTTCCCTTTCTAAACTGATGCTTAATACAATAAAAATATATATAGAAGAACATTTAATAGTCTTAAGGCAGCACAATGGATAGGACACATGTTCTTTGTCACTAGGCTAGCTTAAAAAAACTGTAATGTTTAATTTTCACTTTTAAAGCAATTGAGCTGACTTTACTAATGTAAAGTGCAGACAGAATAGCTGTTGCATAGCAACAGATCTAAGTCTTCTGATCTGCCTTGGTTTTGACAAGGAATCCACTACACAGTGTGCATATACATCCATCAGATATAAAGAGTTTTTATATGAATATATTTACTTTTGGTCCAGTAGACAATAGCAAGAGAACCTAAATGCTTGGAACAATGTCACAACCCATCTCAAGTCAAGCATTTCTTAAGAGAAATTTACAAAAACTTCACAAATTTAATATACAAGTCAGTACCCATGCAGTAAATAAATGTTCAGTTTATACAAACAGTAGTCTTCTAAATGGTACAAATATTACACTGGATCAAGAATTCTATACAAATGTTAATACACGATTTGTCATTCATGTAGACTTGAATATAGGATTACTTAAAATGGGCTACAGAAAGGCCACTCTTCTGTACAATTGTGCAAAATCTGCAAAACATTTGCAATCTGAATGCCACAATATAACCAGGAAGGAAGGAAGGAAAATAAAAATAAAGGAAGGAAAATAAAAATAAAGGAAGGAAGGAAGGAAGGAAGGAAGGAAGGAAGGAAAGAAGGAAGGAAGGAAGGGAGGGAATCATCTGTCTGTTCTTCCATTCATTATGGAGATAACTGCCAGAAAATATCAGAGCTCATGAAGTTTAAAGAACATTCACTGAGCTAAATAGGCAAGTTGGTTAGGAGTACAACTTACTATAAGAAGTACAAAGGAGGCTTTTCTCTTTCACATGAGCATTAATAAATCATATCATGAGTCCTAACTTATGCAGCAAAACACTGAGAAGCAGCACAAATATTTTGTCAAGCTCTGCTCACTTCATAAACAAGCCCAGAAAGAGTAAATACATGATTTAAGATTTACATCCCACTTTCCTAGCATGTGCCTGACTCTAAGGAGATGTTCCTACTCAGATTTACCAGGTTGTCTCCTGCACATCTCAAATCTCATGGAAGTCTAAAACATTTTAATTGGCTTGTGAACTCAGCAGAATCTGGAGACTGAAACCCTCTCAAAAGCAAACCAGGCTTTTTAAGGTCTCAGCTATTTTTCATGTTCTGTGCTCAGCTCTGTTCCCTTCACATTTTTTCCCTGCATACAATATGCTCAAATTTCACAGCTCACAAAACAAATAAAAGACTATTTGAAAAATCCTATTCATTCCTCTTCTATTGTGGGAATTTTCAAAGCCTCTCAGATGCAGAGCATTTTATAGGGAACCTTTTCCACTGCTGTTTTTTTCTGAGCAGGAGAAATACCTTTGACAAGGATGTTCAAAATAAAAATTTTCTCTGTTCCAAAATCTGCATATTATACCAATACCTTCAATAGAAGCATGGATGACAGGAACATGACTTTTTTTTTTAAATCAACGAAATATAGCTAAGAGACATATAACAAATAATTTGGTTTTAATTAGAATAGAAACCAGCATCCCTTTGTACTGATGGTAAACCTGAGCAACAGGCTTTTAAAAAATCGCAAGGAAATAAGACCTAATCTCTTAACACTTAAATTCACATTAGTCATTTTTGTTTGCTGATTTTTATCCTTTTATCTGTTTGACAAACCTGAAACAGCTACTGCATTACATTTTTTCCCTGTCATTTAAGAAAACTCCTAGAGTTTTTTATTAAGTATAAAAAAAAAGGTTTTTTCACGCCAACAAAATAGTACCTGCACTCCAAAAATGCAATGCAATGCAACAGTGGAGTTATGTAATAAAAAATTTCATTGTAAAAGTGACCTTCAGTAACAAAACATTTGTCCGTAGAACTTTCTGTGAGAAGGATGCAGTCTTCCAAAAATGCTTTTCAACACTTCTCTTCAATAGTTAAAGACCATGTTCATTTATTTCACAGAAGATAAACGCGAGCCAAGTATTGGTAGCATATAAAATATACAAATCCTCCTTAAAGATACGGTATTGTTAACCAACGAAGGTTTTCTTCACACAGCTGTGTAACATTAAAATATAACTTACTAGAGCTCTCACATAATGCTATAAAAACTACTCTATACACGTAAGTAAAGGGCTGGAGTGTGGTAAAAGGGAGAAAATGAGTCCCTCTATACATGCGTTTCAATGTAGGAGTGGGTGTGTGCTAAGGTGGCTATAAGGACATCAACCTCCGAAGAGCCGTTAACAGAGTCCCTTGGGGTGCTGCTCGGACGGGTGTGCGCAAAGAGGTCCAGGTACATTCGCTTCCATTCCTGAAAGTCTCTGGAGGTCAAATCAGGATGATCCAGAACTTTATCAATAGCGGCTACCTCTCCCTGCCTGGCCTGTGGGAGACAACAGAGAAACAGGAGGAGATGAGTCACCGACAAAGCTGTGTGGGCGGCCGGGAGGAGAGCAGCAGCCAAGGGGAGCTCCAGGCAGGGCTGTGCCGCCCTCCCTCCCTCCCTCCCTTCCAGGCATCGCTATCATCTAGCAACCCCAAAAGCTCTCCTCTCCCCTCGCATCCCCCTTGCTTAGCAAAGCCGGTGCTGTTTGGTGCGAGCGGCTTCCGTGTCCCAAGATGTGCCTCCCGCCGTGCAGTGCCATCTGCTTGCTCTCTGCGATCCTCACACGCAGCGCTGCGCCTGTGCGTGGGATGCCGGCAGATGGATGGCCTCGCGCCCGCCGACAGAGCTGAGCTGTTTTTACCGGGCTTCTCACGGGGACATCTGAGAGCGGCATCGCAAAGGGCTGCGCAAGGACCTCTTGACTTGCTAACCCCTCTTTAAAGATCCTATGGGCACAAGGGGCTGCCTGGCTGCCACCGCTTCCTGCCACTATGGTGAAAAATGAAAGCTGAAACAGGTAAAATCCAAAAAAGTGACTGATACCTTCTTGCCCATCGCAGGGACAGGCAGCATAGATGTCTCAAACTCAGTGGCTAGTGATTAGTTTCTCAAGATTAAGCCTCAGATACACATATAGGCACGCAGGACTGTTGTACTCATTGGAAAATAGATGAAAAAGATGTAAACTTTGGAAGCACATTTAAAACTCAAGTTTCCAGCATTATTCATATGCAGAGAAACAATTTGGGCCTCAGCCTCTATATCCTCTATCCTCTGCTAGAGAGGCTTCACAGCTCTCACTCCCAAGGCATATATCCCACATCCATATGATGAGTATGTTAAATCTTTCTAGGAGCATGTTAAAGGGAAACATTATGCTGCGCCAGATGACAGTGTGGGAAAGGTCCTCAAGGGTCAGATGAGTCAACAGAAAGCAGAATATTGAATGTCATATTAAAGAGTAGCTAATTAATGCTACATGCTGGAATGCTCATTTTCAGAAACTAAGGTGCAAGCAGAGAACGACCAGTGGAGGTGAAACTGTGGGAAACCTTAATCTTTCCTTAAACTACAACAACCTGCTTCTCAGAGACCATGCCTGCTATCTTATCTCACTTACCTCACTGTAAGTCAAGTAGATCATTCTAGCTGGCAGGAAAGATGGTTTTGTGAGTATACCTCAGGACAGAAAACAGAGATCTTTTCATTAAGGACTTAGATGATGGAACTGAGACTTTATGGATGGTACCAGCTAGAAGCAATTTGGAGGGCTGGTCAGATTGCTGCTAGTTTTGATAAATAAGACATCAGAACATCAAATCCAATAGGCATGTGCAAATAACTACACGTGGAAGGATAAAGCAAAGGCACTGTTAAAAGGCAAAAATAACTGGTCTCTAACTGTAAGCACCTGCTGATAGATATGGTAGATCTTGGTATGGCAGATAGGGAGCTTTGAGCTACAATAAGCAACAAACTCTGCATGACTTAACTATGAAGCAATTGCAAACCAGGCACATTCCATTGCAGACTGATGCCATATCCTTTGGTATTCGCTGATAATGCATATCCAATTTTTGTGACATTTAAGAATGATTTAAATTGATCAAAATCTGGACAAAAATGATGAAGGGTTTAGAAAACGTCTCTTGTGGTGAGAGAACGAATGATCTCTGTTTGCTTGATCTAAAAGAAAGAAGACTCAAAAGCACTAAAACAACCCTCTGTTTGATAGGAGTGAATTGTTGATATTCCGGGGAGGAAATCAATGTTGTTTATAGAGAACCATTGGCTTAATTTAGTCAAGTATCAATAAACCCTAACAAGAAAGACAACTAAGTATCGCAATAAACTGCTAAGTGATTGAATCATTCCTGGCAATTTCATGGCAGGATCTTGCCTGTAACAGACCAATATCTTTCACACAATGTTGGAGTGAGTGACCCAGGCATGGCGCAGAAGCACAGGTACTTCATGAAATTCCTGCTGTGGATTTGTATCAGTGGATTTGTATCCTGCTGTGGATTACTGTGGATTTGTATCAGTTTCCCATGCTGCAAGTTCTTATAGGAGACTTGATGAAAACTCGCTCAGCTACTCTATGTCTTGATTTTTTTCTGCCAGCCACCAAACCTGTAGAGACACCCACCTGCATACTATAAGCATATATAGCCTTCAGTGAGATAATACATGTAAAAATTTAAGCACGTGTAACATTTTTTTTTCAGGACAGGAGCCCCACAGCTTGAAAATAATATTGTTTAAATGCTACCTTAGGTGATGGAAAACTAAATTAATTAATGTTGATAAAGCCCCCTTTGATGAAAGCTGTTACAAAATCTGCTGTACAATTATCTGGTGACTTAAAATGTGGTAATTTAATATAGTTAAAAGGGTCCCTGGGGAAACTCTGCATATTGTTTGCTGAAATCTCTAACAGTACAGATTTAATACCGTTGTAACGAACAAAGAAGCAGACCAGGAGGTTAAATGAGCTGTGGTACATTGACAACAATGATAAAAATCTTCAGCTCCACCATTACCACTATCTGTTTATTTAATCAATCTCACTGAATAAATACAATGATCTGATCAGTTTATGCCAAATGTGAGGACACAGTTCATTCCCAGAGAAGCTTGGCAATCAGAAAACAATCGGACGGTTTCAAAAGGACTGCTCCCTTCCAAAAGACTGCCTTTGCTTAAGCTTCAACTCTGGCAATTACAGACTACATGCATTTTGGTAAATGAAAATGTTCAGGAACAAGAAAAAGGGATTAAGGTCTCTGATAATTTGGTGTCATTTTATGTTAAACTAGCGAGAGGAGGAGTAGCTTTCTGAGATTTTATTTCCTCACAAATAAAACCTGATCCCCTCACTTCCCCTGCTCTCCCAAGTATTTTCTGGGCTTGGAGAACAGCGTTTACCCATATCTTTGTTGTTTGTTTCTCACACCAGGCCCAGCCTGGGATCCTGCTGAGTACAATTAATCTCTGACTACAATACAGTAAGAGCCAAGCCTGGGGCAGGATTTCTTCTCTCTCTTTTATCTCACCTTTAAAGTGCTTTTCAGAATTCGCAGCTGGTGCAGTTTTTCATTGACTACTGGATCACTACATCTCTTTATAAAAGATTTCTTATACTCCAGCTTAGTGGAAATCCGTCTTTCTCCTAGCGGAGACAGGCTGGCCTGCTCCAAGGCTCTGTACAGGTCTTGCAAGGAGTCTGCTGTTTTTTCTTTTATAGTTTCAGCTGTAATGAGAAAAAAAGGGGGGAAAAAAAAGAAGAGGAAAAAGGCAGAGAAAAGAACAGAATATCATTAAGCTGGTTATACAAAAATCTATCAAAAATCTTTTCAAAAGGTGTAACAGGTTTAACTAAACCAGCAGGTGAGCATTTCACACTTCCAGGAAAAAAAAAAAAAAAAGCGCTGAAAGTCTAGCTATTAAGTACCTTAAGTATTGCCTTCCAAAGAAAGGGAGAAAAATTTCCAAGAACTATAAAATCTTGACTGGTTCAGACAGAAGAAAGAAAAAAACAGTGAAAAATGAAGTAACCTTTTGGTCACATACTATCAGAAATCACATCTTTAACTGTAATTAGATATATTGGCAGCTTAGTTATTACAAGAAAAGGAAAGATTAGAAGCATCCTATTGAAGAAGTTGAAAAGGGATCTAATTTTTCTCATGGGGTATTGATATGTACTGACATTCAAGAATATGTTTCCAACCGATGGTCCTGGAGTGACATGTAGTTTTCCTTCCTGCTAGTTTAAAGCCCACCTCTTTAACTGGAATTTCTCTTATTTTCTGATATTCCTGGGTATTCTTCAACAGTTAATAATGATGTCGCTCATGGTATTTTTTTTACTGTACTAATATGTACACACCAGACACAAGAAAGCATCCATGAGTGACTAGCCAGCTGCATAGCAAACAAACCACAGCTACTTGCATTACAGATTTTTCATTCTGACTAACATGGGGGACATTTTAAAGGAACAAAAAATGGAAGATTTTGCTCCTTCAGAAAGGAACTCAGCCAAACCTTGGTTAGAAATTATCAGAATGTCAGCTTCTCACACATCCTTTTCCCCATAAGAAACTTTTGATGTCAGTAGAAACCTGCCAAGTGTTTGGTGAAGCTGTGATCGATGCATGGTAACCAGTTATCCCAGGGGTGAGCCCACGGCAAGAAATATCTGTACTCACTGACTGAAAGTTCAGCACATGGTGAAGCACCCACATAGCAAAGCTTTAGCCTACCTGCGTGCTTTTCAATCCATACCGCTACATCCATATGTTTTTCTATCCATACTACTGGTAGGGTAGCGTGGCAGGACAGCCAGTGTTCAAAAGTGCTATGCTGAGAAGACAAGCTTGCCATGAAATACCTGAGATATCTTCTTGGTCAAATCAGCACCACACAGCACAACAACTACTCATCTCAGCTCCAAATAAGAGACCAGAATCTCCATCTCCCATTACAAGTATTTACATTTGTATAGGTCTTTACATAATCAAAGAATTTTGCAGTCAGCAATTAATCTTGTCTATCTCCAGCCAGTTTACTTCTTTGTAAAGAAGTAAACTTTCAGTTTGTGGGGGCTACTGTGTTGTTCAATAGCCAATAACACCATCACTTCTGGTGTTCTATTTAAAACACTCTTTTTAAATCATATGTAGTTTTTAAAGAACTATTTTTTTTTAAAGTAATACAGAAATGAAGAAGAACAAGAGTTTTTTTATGGTTGGAGGTGTTGTAGGTCTGAACAGACCTGTTGGGTTCCTTCAGCCCTACACTATTGCTCACTAAGTCCTCCCATCATGTGTTAATAAGGCCTCGAAAGCTGTAGTCATCACTGTCTGTGTGGGCAAAACTTAAAGAAAAATAAAAATGAGATACAAAACATCTAATGTGTTAAATGGGAAAATATGGAGTAGCTGCATATCTAACGATTGGTTAAAAGCCCCAGAAGTCTTGATTTTTATGCTTTCTTAAAAATCCCATGCAGCAATGAGATAGCATGTTTGGGTAACTGTATCCGTTCTTATCATTGAACATCTAAGTCGACAAATCTGAGAGCTGGGGAATGGGAGTGATTTGTGAAAAGGCAAAGGGAAAAAATCCTCCAAGATCTGAACAGGGATTATTTTACATCTGTTTCTCTCTTCCTCTTATCCTGTGTTATGCAAGAGGAAAAAAAAAAAAAAAGAGATCTTTCCTCTGCTCCCTTTCCCCCAGCAGCATAGCCACATGGTATCCTCAGGAGATTAGTAAGTACATGAAAACTCTACTCAAAAAGAGGGACAATGCCTTGACTTCGAGCCATTTTAATTTATTTTGCCAGGGAGATCCAGATCCTGTGTTAGCCACTGCTTTCAGACTTGCTGTTGAAACCATCCTGGCTCCTGAAACCTGAAAGGTCCTGACTGCAGTAAAGGACAAAAGCAGCCCTCAAATCACTTCAGATTTAACCCCCGTGATCAAGCCTGAACAGAAATGGCACAGGAATAGTTGAGGCTGCATGGAAAGATGGATAGCTAGCTGGGACATTACCAGGCAGGTCAGGGAGAAGTCTAGGGGCCTCCTGTAACATGGCGCTGACAGATCTTTGAAGCCCATGTCCACCTCTGCCTCCCCAGGCTTTGCCATCATTGACTACTGTACAAACAAAAAGCATTTGGAGGAGATATTGGATTTGATAAGGAAGGCAAGAGGAGTGAGGAAAAACAGCATGCCCTTTCCTTAAATATCTTGCTGTTGACGCTAGAATACCTCAAGCAGGACAAGTGGCTACCATGGTTCCGGGGAAGGCAGGGGGAGTCCTGCTAACACATCCTACACCCTTAACATTTTCCACTGGATGTGACGTGCTGCCCTCAATGACTGGAGTAAGTTCTCAGTAGGTGGGAGTGAGATTATACACAAATTTTTCCTCCTTCACCCTTCTGCTGAGGGATTTGACTGACTTTTTTGTAGGTGTTGGTGAAACCCTTCGTGCCATAAAGGATCAGAGATACTTGATTAGATAAACATCTGAGCTTAAAAATGTTTTATTATTATTATTAATTCTATTGGTGTACTTGATGCAAGTGATATGCTATGCCCGCAGGGCTGCCTTCTTAAGAAAGAATAAGGCTTCAGGTAATGCCTCATTTAAATAGAGAAAAGACCTGATGGGATTTGTGGGCTGACCTTGCAGCAGTCTATACAGCAAGTTACTCACTCTCACTTGGCTGGCTGCTGAGTCACGGGGCGCATCTCTGCAGTTGCCGTGTTTCTCTGAATACATTGGTAGATAATTCTTTCCCTATGCACCTAAAAAGAAAGCTTTTTCTCTCTCTCCCAGTCTCATCTAGAACATGCTAGAACAGTTCTGTCACTTTGGAACCAAAATAAAACTGCATAAACTCTGCAGCATGCAGGATCTACATTCTGCACCACATCTTCCAAATCCCAGAATGCACAAACAGTATATTCAAACAGTGTACCTTTAAGTGAACCCCAAACCATTTGCTTTTAACCGAATTAAATTCAGCAGCTGAACAATGTTTCAGACTAGTAAATGCTATGTTATAATTTTTCATTATTCTGCCTTCCATTTGGAATAGTTGAGAACGTCTTGTGCTCTACACCCACTTCTTAAAATGCCACAAATACCTGCATAGATTTTAAGGATTTCTTAAGAGAGGAAAGATGGAGATATTAGCTGAGTGAGTGAAAACACGTTCAGAAAATTATTGGTAGTTGCCATTAGGGAAAATTTGGCGGGATTTATATTATTTATATTATACTCCCACTTGTTGTTAAAATGAAAGTGGCCCAAGGTCCATACTGTGGTCCATGACCACCTGCTAGCTCCATTGGACTGTACATCTTTCCATTATTTTCCTCCTGTATACCTGTACCTCTAGAGCAATCAGTAAGAACATATGGTATTTGAGTGAAAAGCAACCTCAGTCAACATTGATATTTACATGGTATGAGGGTGAATCATTATTTTTCTGATCATTAGCATCAGGAAGATGACACAGAATTAGGGATATGTGGAAGGCTACGCTTGTAATCCAGCTCACGAACACATCATGTTGTAGACAGAGAATCTCTAGGCATACTTTTCTCAAAAATCATGTCTAAATATCTGGGAAAATCCTTGGAAATTTTAAGTGAAGGTTCCTGTGCTGCTGTGACTCTCTTTCCTTGTAAAAGCTCATGACACTGAAAGCTGGCATGTTTTCCCTCCAGTGAGATACCAGAAGAACCAGTGATTGTACCTGGGATCATGAGCACAAGTAACTGTCTGTGCAAGAGCAGCACAACACAATGAATTATTGTTTTTATTGCCTGCTATGTCAACAAGATCAGATTTTTCAAGGGTTGATGATCTCCTCTGATGCCCATTTCTACTTTACCCATTCTTCCTAATGCAATGCAGGTTTTCCTGTTATTCTTAGACTTCTCACATTGTGGGACACCATTGACCACTCTGCATTCTCTGTTGTTCCATTATCCTGTTTGCTAACTTTACAGCTTAGTGATACCCTTTCCTTTGCTGTGCAACTCTTGTCATGCACACCCATTGCTCTCCTTAAAATCAGCCCTGCATTTGGACAAAATGACCACTTCCTGAAAATCCAGAGAAAGCTGAGCTGCTGCAGGTTCTCTGACAGAGAGTGAATAACACACAAGCAGTTGAACTGAAATCCTCCATGCTCTGCTGAAGTCCAAATTCCCATTCTTATTCCTTTTGGTAAGCTCACTTCTCTCTAGCAGAGAAACCAACTCAGAACAGCCTTCTCAGGATATTAAGATGGTATTTTTGTTAGCACACAGAACTAATTACCTTATTAAAGAATAGCTATATGTTATTTTATCCCTACAAATCTCACAAGATTTGCTTCCAATTTTAGGATTATACCTGCTTTACCCTTAGCACTGGGGAGCCATCTAACTGAAAGCTCCCAGGGACTATTTCTGGCTGTCAGTATCTGCCACACCAAAGCTGAGAGAGCATTTTTGGCCTCTGGGAAATGCTCTCAAGCTAGATAAAAACAAGTCTTGACACATGTCTCATGTGGATCCGCAAATCCCTGCTCTTCTTTTTTTGCCTTCTTGACCATGATGCATCCACATTAGAAAAAGCAAAGCTTGCCTAGTGCATATTAGGTGATAATAAGTGACAAAATCCTACCGCAGATTTTTATGTTACAGCATGTCGGGTGTGCCATGTCTATTAAAAAGATGCCT